TTTTTATTAAGTACTGGCATTTCTGAAAATAAGGGTATCATTGTTTTGTCTGATTTAAAAAAAAATAAACTGTTTGATTGTTCTTAGAATATGTATTTAGTATAATTGAAAAGCACCTCAAAATTATTTCAGTATAACTGAATATAGCATCCCAAAATTATTTGGCTGATTTATTCTTGCTTATGTTTAATTCTGAATTTTATATTATTTGGTTATTTAATTTTATAAAAGAAAGAAAGAAAGAAAGAAAGAAAGAAAGAAAGAAAGAAAGAGAAAGATCAGCTATTGGGCTATTCTATAAATAGTTCTCTGCAGTATAGCCAGGAGTAGTCTAATAAATCCAGGGATGGGATTCTACCAGTTCGCACCTATTCGCTAGAACCGGTTATTAACATTCTAAGCAGTTTGGAGAACCGGTTGTTAGAAGAAATTACTGGCCTAATCCTGTAAGGAAAGCAGGAACGAAACATTCTGGTGTTGCTTACAGAAACTGCCTCTCCATTAACCCGTATTACATTCTTGGCAGGACTAGACTTCCTGTCTCAGAAACTTCTTTGGAGTTGTTTTCCCCTCCTTTGCTGGTACTTTGTGTGGAGTGACCATTCAAAGTTACAATGGCACTGAAAAAAGTGACTTATGACCATTTTTCACACTTACGACTGTTGCAGCATCCCCACAGTCACGAGAGGCCAGGCGAGGAGGTATGTGCCTCAATGTGAGTGATATTGAGTTGGCCACACCCAGCCAATAACATGACCACCAAGCCATGTCTACCCAATCACATGACCATCAAGCCACTCCTACCACCTAAGCCACGCCCACAGAACTGGTTGTTAAAAAATTTGAATCCCATCCCTGAAAAAATCCATTTTGTCATCCAAGGACCTAAACATTTTCTTATTTTGAAGATTTTTTATGTATGTTTGTTATTAATTGGGTTCTATTATGCATTTAATTTTTTTAAAATAATCTTGGACTCTGGGCTTTTTGAATTCATCATTATACAACAGTCTTAAGTCAGAATGAACAAAACTCCCCCCACCCAACCAGAGGTCAATTCAGTGACCAATCAGGATTACAGATGTGACCACATGACACGAACTACATCTCCCATGAGGCATTCCCTTAAGGATTCCCAAACTAACTATATACTATCTAACCAGAACAATGGGGTTACAATTAGGGAAGCATATATGGTTCCAGGACAATGATCTCCTGTAATTCCTGAACAAATTGCAATAAAATCAGTCTTATATATTTTCATTGTCTCATCTTTACATGTTTACTTTTGATTTAAGACTGATTACAACTCTAGCTTCCTTCAATGATCAGAAGAAATTTCCCCCTTTTCCTCGCCTGTACCTCCAGTGTTTTCTATGACACCCCAAGTTTTCTTTCTGTTTTCTGGATGGTCATCCACCAGGTAGCTATCAACTACTCAAACTCTCCTGTCTGTTTGACTGTTTGTAACCTTCAACTTGGCGAAACGGTACATCATAGAGCAGCAGTTTCTGAATCAACGTGGCTCAAATAGGCTAACTTAAAGAATACATCCAAAACCTGGAATCCATGACTGCTGTTGGGATTGAATTTTGGCAAAGTTGTACCTGATTCAGTGCTTCGGTGCTACTATGCCAACGTGCTGCCACGGTCAGCCATGGTCACACAATCATCATTTGCAATGCTCCCTCCTAGCTTTCATAAGAAAATCAGTGGGGAAACCAGCAAGAAGTCAGAAATTGCTCTCACTTCTACTGCTTTTTTAAAAAAAACCAGCTGTTTTTTTCTGTTATTCTGTTTTTCTGTTTAGATAAGGAAATATCTCTGAAAGTATGACTTGGTGGTCAAGTATTTTCTGTGGCATTCTTGGAAATTAAGATGGTTGCTATGATCAAGTTCGTTACTTTGCAGCAACCAAGCTATCAATGCAATATGATTGGTTACTGAAATAATATGCACATAATACCTCATGCTAGTGTAATGTGGCCTGTTTTACACAATGGATTAAATTAGAGCCTGAATGGCTGGCTTCACATATATTGCTCCATCCTTTAGTTTACATAACTCTTTGTTCATTGGATAAAATATTGGCCATTGGTTCACCTGTGAAACTATACACTAGAGGTAAGCATGTAAATATGGTTTACATGTAAACATGGTTTGCAAAAGAGAATGGCTGGATTCTGTCAACTCACTAAGCCAAAATAAAATAAATCACATTACTCCATCCATGAATCCTCTTGTCTTCATGAATAAATGGAGATTGGAACCTGGAGTATCATCCATGTCTCCTCCACAGTGCTTCGGCCATCCCCGGCAAAAGAATAACAACCATTTGAGAAGGGATGAACTTTGTGACCTCACTGAGCAGTGCCTGCCTGCTTCATTCATGGAGTTGTCAGAATGCTTGGGATGAACTTCTGTGACCTCTTTCACCTCCAGATTAGGTCACACTGGGTGGATTGTGTTTGTTTGCTGCTTCCCCCCAGTCTGTCTACCCCAGATCAAGCTGAGGATCTTTTCTTTCACTTAAATCAGGTTGAGGAGGAGGGCACCACCGTGATGGATGTATGCAAATATCCAATCACAGTAAGTGGAGATGGTGCAGTGTCACAGCAATAACCTCTTTCTCTCTGTATGTCCCAAGAGTCCTTTAACATGTTTGTGGGTTGTTGGGCAATTAGATAAGAAATGATACGATGATTATTACCTATTTCTGCTTAATTGTCATCCAAGCAGGTGGGGGGGGGGGTTGGACTAGAGCAAAGCTCTTCAAACTTGGCAAATTTAAGACTTGTGGACTTCAACTCCCAGAATTCCTGAGCTAACATGGCTGGAGGAGGAATTCTGGGAATTGAAATCCACAAGTCTTAAAGCTGTCAAGTTTGAAGACCCCTGGACTAGATGGACCTCCAAGGTCCCTTCCAACCCTATGATTCTATGATTCATATTGCATTCAGTACTGTTGTAATATGTGTAGTTTTGGTGGGTTTGACATATGAAGTTGAATCTGAGCCGCACAGACCTAGACTCTACACATATTTCTACTAGGGAATCCTTTTTTAGTCACTGGGATCTACTTACCCAGCACATTCCTTTCCTGTACTCCATTTTATCTTTTCGGCAGAGAGTGCTTCTATGACCATCCAGACTATCTTCTTGGATTTAGCCATAGTCTCTTTTTCTCTGCCTTATGGAACCCTTCTTATAGCCCCAAAGCCATAGCTTTCCAGCCCATTTTGTTTGTGTAATAAATCACAACTAGGGCTTTTTAAAGACTTTGAAAAGCCCATAAAAATCAGCTGTCCCTTACAATTGAATTAAAAGGGAGATGGTTTTTATTTTTGCTGCCATACTAGCAGTAGCACTTAGACTTATATACTGCTTTACAGCCCTCTCTAAGCAGTTTATAGCTTATTCCCGCCCCCCGTCCCCAAAATCTGGATCCTCATTTTACCCACCTCGGAAGGTTGGGAGGCTGAGTCAACCTTGAGCCTGGTGAGATTTGAACTGCCAAATTGCAAGCAGCTGGCAGTCAGCAGAAGTAGCCTGCAGTACTGCACTCTAACCACTACTCTCACTACAGGGTGGATTATTCCGATCAGGAAGCACCAAGCTGTTTGCTATTTGTTCACTTGGATCCCTTTGTATCTCAGTAGGGTCCACTTTATGTTGTGATAACATTCAGTGGCAAAGACAGGCAAACATTAGAAAAGATAACAGTAGCTACTCAGCAAAGACCCTTAATACTATATCTCACTTTGGACCTCTGCAATTTTTTGGACCCAGCCAAATGTGGCATTTTTTGATGTTTCAGAATGTAGAAGTTGAATGTATGCATAGAAATTATAAAGTTTGGAAATTTCAGCTTAACAATAGAAGGGCTTTCCTAATGGTGAGACCAGTTCGGTGATAAAATAAATGATTTCCAGAAGTAATGAGAGCTAAAGTGGGAAAAACAATGACACAAAATAAGTAGCATAACGTCTATTGCATGGGGCCAGGATTTCTGGTTGTCTTTGTTTGGTATTTCAAAATTATAACATCTGTTTTAGGAGAGAAAGTTATCACTGATATCCAGCAATTTAATTTAGCATTTGTTTATTTGTCCAATTTATATAGTTTGGCTGTTGAAGTCAAACAGGATAGGTTAAGGCATTCTAGGGTCTATGAAAAAGCACTTGCTGTAGTGATGTCCTGTTGCAGCTCTGCCCCGAACTCTACATATATCTGGACCAGGGGTGTCAAACTCTCTCTTGTCACGGCGCCATCATGTGACGCATCACAAATTTGCCTCTTTGCTAACCTGGGCATGGGCATAGCCAGTGTGTGACGCATCTGGCCCATGGACCGCAATTTCGACAGCCCTGATCTAGGTTGTCTTTCATAATTATGTCTCCAGTATAGATCAGAATACCAGATGTAGTGATATGCCACTGCATGCAGGTAATCCTTGACTTACAAAAGCTTGTTTATTTCACTAAACATGGCACTGAAAAAAGTATTATAACCATTTTTCACCATTACAACCAGTGGTGAGATTCAAATAATTTAACAACCGGTTCTCTGCCCTAATAATTTCTTTCAACAACCAGTTCACCAAATTGCTCAGAAACTTAACAACCGGTTCTCCCGAAGTGGTGCAAACTGGCCTGAATCCCACCACTGCTTACAACCACTGTGGCATTATGTGATCAAAATTCAAATGCTTGGTAACCGGAACGAGACAACTTGGTGCGGCCATCTCACCCAGCTAGTCATGGCCAACTCAGCCGACTTACTGTGGGACAACTCACTCTGGGACAATTTAACAATTCAGTTTTAAGCATTTAAAATAATTTTAAAAAATAGTTGTAATTTTTGCCACTCGCATGTCATTTTGTCCCCCCTTTTGCATCCTTTCTTTAATGATTCTATTCCCCCATTTCTTCTATGTTAGTGTAACTCTTGTCCTGAAGTAAATTGGCCATGGTAAGTTGTCCTTCAGGATGTTGGGCAAGGCGAGTTGGGCGCGGTGAGTTGGCTATGGTGAGTTGTCCTCATTGAGTTATCTGTACTGAGTTGTCCAAGCCGAGTTGTCCTAGATCATTGGCAACTGACTCATAATTATGAGGGTTGCAGGGATCACGGGATTACTTTTTGCGTTCTTCTGACCAGCAAAGTCAGAGTGGAAGCCAGATTCATTTAACAATCCTATTACTAATCTAACAACTGCAGTGGTTCATTCAACAGCTGTAACAAGAAAGGTCGTAAAATGGGACCTTAAAACTCATTTAATTGTCTTACTATTCGACAGAGATTTGGGGTTGTAAGTCAAGGACTAGCAGTATGAGAAAAAACACTCTTGATAACATAAACTCTTGCCATATATCAATGTCAGTTGTTTTTCTGATTGCTGCAATGGATGGATTAAAATCAAAGAAGAGTAAATAACAAAGCTTTATGTCAGGAGTGTCAAACTCACAGCCTGAGGCCGGATGTGTCACGTGCTGGCCACCCCCACCCCCCATTTAGCAAAGGGGAATAAAGTTGCGATTGGTCACATGATGACAACATGTCATCGCAAGATTGACACCTCTGCTTTATGGGCTTGAATAAACTCACGAGAGTGCATGCAGTTTGCACTGAGTGAGATACACATTTGTAGTTTATGTCTGTTTCACTTTGCATCAAATGTCTCAAATGAAAAAAGTACACCACCACAAAGTATGGGGGAAAAAAAAGAGAAAGGTGTATTGCAGAACATAGGTAATGACACCAAAGATTGAAAAACAAAAATAACAAATCATTAAGCCTCAGTTTGGATAACACCCAACTGTTTCTACCTTGGATTTTTCCAAATGTTTGACAAAAGATCCCTAAAAGGAGTGACAATTCTTAATATCTGGAAGAACTGAGGATCAGAAGAAAAGAATTTAATATAAGAACTATCTTGATACTTGTGCTTTGCTACGAAACTATGTGGTTGGGCTTAGTTTTTAGGGAGGAAAATAAGGAAAAAAATTCTGCCTCTGACTACCAGCATCCCATCGGTATTCATCTGGCTAGCGTCATGTCAGTGTGTGTGAGAATTGAGGGCTGTTTGAAACTGAAACAATATTTGCTGTGTCAGCAAGAAGGAGACAGCAAGGAGTCTGGGTGTAGCTTAGCTCAACTGTTCTGTACTAAAGCTGCTTGATGCTGTGAAACTAAAACTAAAACTGAAACTGAAACTCCTCTCCTCTGTGTTTTGAATTTGGAACAGATTTCTTTTCATGTGGGACGGGGTAATAGAACTCCTTAGCATCAGAGCGTGTTAATAATAATATTCCAAATTCTAATGCTCCGATGGTCGTTTTGAAAAATCCTTTCTTAGTGAGCACCTAGAAGCCAAGAGGAACATACGTGCCAAATTTCAAGTTTGTAGGCTTTACAGTTCTGAAGATTTTGTGATGACGCATGAGTGATATTTCGCTTTTATATCTACAGATAGAAAAGATGTTAGATAACGAATAACTAAGGATAGTAGCCTTTCCACTATTCTGGTTTTGACTAGCTGCTTATTAGATTCTCAGATGTCTTCATTTTCAGATGGATAGTGTCAGGAATGGAGAAAATCGATATGTGATCCAAGCCTCACTCTAAATTTAGATTGTTTTATAAGAAGGGGGAACAAATCTCTTGGGGCTCCGTAGTTGGTTTTGAAATAGAAGAAAATGTATTTATGCTGCCAAAGTTCACAGTCATTCTGTAAGCTTATGAAACTGTCATTTCATTACATGACTGCAATAAAGCTTGTTGATATGTACATAGGTTATTGGAGTGCATTTTATGATTGTTGTCATGCAGACTGATAGACCAGGGAGTAAAATATTATCTCTCCCCTCCCAAAAAATGTTCTGAGATCTTTTTGATTAAACTCTGGACTGCAGTTAATGTTATGGTTAAAACTGCCACCACATTGTGGTCTAGAAATAGAAAAAAGAAATTAAAAAAAGGATGATATGAATCTTTTCGGTTGCAGATGATAAAAATGAGTAACAGCTTGACTCTTCTTTGAGTCTGCAGCTACAGTTTTAGATGAATTGCAACTATGACATCTGCATCAAGTTAATGATTGCACTTTTGAGGTCTGGAATATTTTATTTTGTTTTTTTCAATGGGCAAATGAAGCTAATGAACCCTGAAAAAAGTAAAATACAACTACCAAGAATCAGCAAAGGACATATTTTATGGCCTTCTGTTCAACATGGATACGGAGATTTATGAACCTGAATACTGAACTGGGTCTGAAGTCTCTAGTCCAGGAAATTCACAAATGAGACTTAAGTATTCTTGCTCCTCTTCTTAACCAACAGAGAAAAGTGATTATTTCTGAATCTGACTGTAATTCTCAGATGTGATTATTTGTTATCATTATGGATCTGTCTACTTTTAAAGCATTGTTGGCACGGCACCTTTTTTAGAGCAAATTCCATGGTCTGTGTGGTATGAAAACGCATTTTCTTTCATCTGTCTTGAATATCCTACCACTCAGCTTAATTTGGATGACTCTGGAATCATATATCCCCCTCTTTAAATCAGGAAACAAAGTTAGTTGTGCAAATATATACAGTATGACAGTATGACACTGTACAAGGCAAAGTTTAGATTACATTCATTCCCATATACTATGTAGTTGTTTGGCATTTATCACCTGTAATTTATTTTGGCATTATTTTTCAATGAAAAAAAAAGGTTAAAATTGTAAGTCAGTTTCTACAGTTGCCATTTTCATTTTTGCTTTTATACTTATAGACGTCAGGATAGTTTTTGTCATGTTTAGCTGTTTGCTAAAGGTGGGTGAATTAGTTCATTGTAGAAATCTAGTACTCCTATTGTTTCAGAACTGCCTGTTGTTTTAGGATCAGTAACTTAGATTTGTTGTTGACTCATGGGTGTGCTAAAAAAAGTGTTATATTTCCCACCTGGGATTCATTTTTTTATTTTTGTCAATTGCTTGCAAGATAATAGTATAAGTAAAAAACATAGTTATGAATACATGGATACATATAAGAAAAGTAAAAAAATAAAATAAACAATAAGACAGGGACGGTAGGCATGTTGGTGTGCTTGTGCACGCCCCCATAGACCTTTTAGGAAAGGGGTGAGGTCAATAGTAGACAGTCTAAGGTTAAAGTTTTGGGGATTTGGGGAAGAAATCACAGAGTCAGGTAGAGTATTCCAGACATTGACTACTCTGTTGCTGAAGTTTTATTTCCTGCAATCAAGATTGGTGCGATTAACCTTGAGTTTTTATCTATTGTTTGCTCTTGTGTTGTTATGGTTGAAACTGAAGTATTCATTGACAGGTAGGACACTGCAATGTATGATTTTATATACTATACTTAGATCGGATCGAAGGTGGCGTAGTTCTAGGTTTTCTAGGTCTACAATTTCAAGTCTGGTGGCATAAGGTATTCTGCAATGAGTAGAGGGGTGGAGAACTCTTCTTGTGAAATATTTCTGGACTTTCTCAACTGTGTTTATATCAGATACGTAATGTGGGTTCCAGACTGACGAGCTGTATTCGAGTATTGGTCTAGCAAATGTTTTGTATTCTCTAGTTAGTAGTGTAATATTACCAGAGGGAAAAACTACGTAAGATTAGGTTAGCAACTCTTAATGCCTTTTTGGCTATGTAGTTACAGTGGGCTCTAGCACTTAGATCATTCGAGATGAGTACTCCAAGATCCTTGACAGAATTTGGGTCATCAACAAGGTCTTGACTATTCAGCCTGTATTTTATTTTCTGATTTTTTTTGCCGATATGTAAGACAGAGCATTTATTTGTTGAGATTTGAAGTTGCCATTTGTTTGACCATTCTGATACATAGTCAAGGTCTTTTTGAAGGGGAGAAGTATTGTCTGTGGTGTTGAATAGCTTTACTTCATCAGCGAAGAGAGCTCAGTTGCTCTTAATATGATCACAGAGGTCATTTATGTAGAGTATGAAAAGAGTTGGTCCTAGAACACTGCCTTGTGGGACACCACTGTTGACAGGTACAGAATTTGATAGGACGCTCCCAATTTTGACCATTTGTTGTTTTTTTGACAGGAATGTTTCTATCCAGTTATGCAGGTGTCCAGAGATACAGTAAGATTTTAGTTTTAGGAGTAGTTTGTCGTGTACCACTGAATCAAAGGCTTTACAGAAGTCTATGTAGATTGTGTCTATTGCTTTGCCCTGATCGAGTTGTGTAGTCCATATGTTTTTACAGTGTAAGAGTTGAGATTACATGATAGTTTTTTCCTGAAACCAAATTGTTTATTAGAGAGTAGGTTGTTTGTTTCTAAGTGGAGGATGATGGATTGGTTAATAATTGATTCCATGACTTTACAGGTGATGCAGCATAAAGAGATTAGTCTGTAATTTTCAACTAGGCTGGGGTCTCCCTTTTTGAAGATGGGGATGACTGTGGCTTGTGACCATAGTTTTGGCAAGGAGCTGGTCCTGAAAGATTTTTCAAAGATTATGCTTGGAGGTTTGGCTATGGCAGTGGATAGCCTTTTTAAGAAGTAGGCACATGTTCCATCTGGTCCAATAGATAGAGATGGTTTTAGATTGCGTAGTGCTTTTTCAAATTGTCTTCTGTAAAATCGATATGTATTAGATCATTGTAGCTGTCTGTGGTTCGACTAGGAAATACTGGGCATGATCCATTGCTGTTTATAAATACTGAGCCAAAGAATGTGTTAAAGAGGTTGGCTTTAATAGTCTATGAAAGTTCCCAATGCTAAAACAACCAGCCTTTAAAATGACATGGCAAATTGCTGAGATAGACCTGTTTTAACAAAATAGTGATGAGCATTTATATAGCACAGTTGTAGAGGATTATATCAAAGGGGAATGGATGTTGCATTTTTATTCTGTAGTCTATAAGTTTGGATGGATTCTGAAAGGACCTGTAGAACTGACTGTAGCCAGAAAGGCAAGTTTATCGTAGTTTTACTTTTGAGACCATCAGAAAAATCTCACTTTGATAAATAGTAGAAAGTCAAGCAACTTTTTCTGTTGCTCCCAAGGAAGCTCTTTTCAAACCTCCAAGGAATGGTGTACAATCCGGAGAAATTCCCTAAGACGCATTCATTCTTCAGCTTTAGAGATAAAGGAAGCCACCTGTGATTTTCTCAGATCAAAATAGGATGCAACCTAACTGAATTAAATCTGAAGCTCTTTCTGTGTATGCTAGCAATTTCTCCTTATCTCTAATTCAAAACAGGCCATCCACAATCCTGTCTGCAGTTCCATGATGTAATTTAGGAATGAAATTTGTGGTATTCTTGCTCATTTCCGTTAGATATATATTTGACCGTATCTCTTTCAAGAACAATACACATTTTTACAAGGAATGTGAAACTATGTTTCATATGTTAGTATGGAGACAGATTTTTGAGGTGAAAAATTGAGGTAATTAGGTTCAAAGTATAGCAGGTACAATGGTACAATGCAAAACATAGTGACATACAGGTAGTCCTTGACTTACAACAGTTCATTTTAGACAGTTGAAAGTTACAATGGAACTGAAATAAAAGTGACTTATGACTGTTTTTCACACTTACGACCATTCTAGCATACCTGGGGTCACATGATCAAAATTCAGATGCTGGGCAGC